AGAACTTTTTTTTTTTTTGGGGGGGGGGGAAGTCATTATTAATCAATCAAGTTAACCTGTCAGCCTGACTGTATGACTCCTGTTCTCTGAATCCTCTTAGTGGTGGTTTTCCTGGCCACATTCAGCCTAGATTTCCATCAAGGCAAAGAAAACACATCTACAGCTTAGCCTGTCTTTTTGACCACTCTCCCATTTGCTTTTCCACAAACCTCAGACCTCACTCATTGCAACCTCCTACTCCTATCTCCATTTGTGTATCAGCAGCACGAGTGTGTCATATTAACCTGAATAGCCCAGTCTGATAAACTACTACAAGCACTTAAACTGTTCAAACCATTCCTCTCACAGTGCTCATTAAGAGTTAGTATAACGAAACAAGATTAGTGCCTTGGCTGAAATTCCTCCCAGTTCAGTCTGTCTTTTAAGTACAGAACTATTTAGGTCATGGTCCACTTTTGGGCACTTGGTATAGTACAACGCAAGTTGTTGACAACTATGTAGTTTGCTATTTAAATGCACTTCCATCTCAGTGCTTATCAGTGCTCCTTAGCTGACCTGCTTGGTATTACAGAACCTCTGCAAGTCTTCCACTGCAAGCTCTAGCCGGAGCCTACCAGCTAATGCTAGTCCAGGAAGTGTCTGTGTCCATGCTACATACTCTTGCCCCAGGGCCAAAAGGACTGACTAGTTAAACAGAAAAACGTCAGCAGCACAGACATTTCCCCTGACTAGCTCAGGCTCCAACATGTGTACGTTTTTGCTTGCCTTTTTTAAGGCTTAACGGCAAACAAAAGTTCTCCAGCTTAATTAATTAGTTTCCAGGATCAACCTGCAGTGGCCAAAAGAGCTCTTATGCCAGTAATCCACAATACCGAAGTAGGAAACAGAACACAAACAAGAGTGTCCACACAGCAACATGGCACTGAAACCCCCATCCTGTAAGCAGCCCAGCAGGAACACGTGTGAGTTAAGGTAGTTACATTTATATATATTTCTATTATACTTGCACACACACACACGTTTCAATAACTAGCATGACTTAAACATATAAAGTGTTACAAGTATAACAAACAAGTAGGAAACTCAAGTGCCACAATCAAGTTTCAGAACTCAGTTGTAAGTTTTAATGCAGACACTGTTTGGGTCTGGACTCCCAACTTTAAATGCAAAGCCTGTTGGTGTACAGGGTTCGTCACAGACTTTTGCTATGACATACATCATGACATTTTAAAAGTTTTCCTCTCACAGAAGCAAAATAGCTTCTACTTTTTAAAACTGCCACTTTTATTACAGGGTTTTCAAGAAAAATCATACAGGCTTAGCATCAGAGTTTGTGCTTTCCAACGCCTTCAAGTAATGACACTGTAAATGTTCTTAATGGTGCTGTAAGTGATTAGGCTCCGAGAGGAAAACTCTCTTCCTTCACAGAAAGGACTCAGTTTCTGGATACAACCAATTTAAATGTACTTTGTATATACAATTAAAAATGACAGAAATTGTTGCTTAGCATAGGTAGTTTGTCAAACGGCAGACAGAGAAATTCAATTGATAATGATGAGAGATTAAAATTCATTTACCTTTCGAAGATTTATGGAATTCTTTCTGAAATCAAAGTTTCCAAAATATTCAAAAAAATCACCCAACAATACATCTAAGGGAAAGAAAAACAACAGCCATCAGTAACATTAAGGAAAAGTTTATTTTCAATATGCTCATAAAAACTAAAAAAAAAAAAAAAAAGTTGATGAAGATTTACCTACCAAGTGTTTCTGTATTTTTTGTAGGTTTAATCTTGCTTAAATCACTAACAAATGAGCAATCATATCCTCCAATTACATGCTTGTCTTTTTCATCTGAAACAAAAATCGCAGGCATATTTTGAAGTGATAAACAGTAAAATGCCATTGTATTTAATAAAATTCAGATAACAGCCATGACTAAATTCAGTGAATGCTATCATATTAAGTAAATCAAATTAGGAGTTCCCAAGTGAACTTTCAGGTTAAGATTCAACTTCAGTGGTTAAAGATTTAAAAGAAAAAAAGTCTATGGACAGGCAAAGGAAAAGAAACATGAGTAAATGGCATATTTTCAAAAGCCTACAGGAATAAGGTATGTGACATCTTTGTATCTCTGAAGTTACTTCTTTTAAGTAACAAACCTGGTATCTCTGCATACAGAGCTTTATTACAGACTAAACAGGACACATCTCTGAGGTTAATACCTATATGAGGGTTTCAAAAAAAAAATCAGACCCAAAGTGTCCACTGTCTTTTTCTGAAAAACTTAAGCAAATTAGGAATATTTTTGCAAAATTTCAGGACAGGTGTTTTGTTTTATGTATAAAAATTCTATAGAATTCTGATGGAAATGTTTGACCTGATTTTAAAGCAACTGAACACAGACCTTTTTCTCCACTCAAAGCACTCAAAGCTTCCAAGGAAGCACGTCAATAAGCAGAACGCATGAGTGAGGAATCAAGAACTTGGGGTATCATTCTCTATGCTTTCATTAGAATTACTGAAGATAATACACCCTAAAAGCTACGTATGAAACAGCCAGAACAGCTTGTTTGCAAAGATATAAGAACTATTTGCAGATGGCCTGAACAGTCTCAAGGATATTACAAATTGTGAGGAAAAAATATAGCCTTTCTTTTAAACATTTGGTATCTATAAAACAATACACATCGTATCAATCTGCACAAAATCCTTAACAACTGCAGAGACATTTGAGACCCTGCAAGTCTTCTAAAAAACAAAATAAACAAAAAACAGCCAGCATGGGAGCATTGAGCAAATAAATGACTTAATTATCTGAGGCATGGAACAAGCCTAAACCCTCTAAGTAGAATTTAGTGTTGTATTGAAAATTGATTTATTTTGCCTTTAAAAATGCACTATTTTCACAAAAAAATACAAGTAAAACTTGTATATTCCCTCAAACTTAAGGCATACATAAGATGCATTAGTATTTGACAGCATAAAGAAGTTGCTTGGGTTTATTCATCACTTTAGAGAAAACAAATGTGAAAGTCACTTCAATAAACACATAAACAGCTGTCCTTACCTGCCAGTTCTTTAAGTTGGTCTAGTGTTGGAATGATAGGTGGTGATCTCTTTTGCAGAAAAAACATGATCATCATGGTTAGAGAGAAGTTTGTAATCCAGGTACCAGGAACACTATTTGTAAGTCCATGAACACGTGCCCAACATCGTACACTGAACACTAGTGCTCTTACACGGGAATCAACCCAGCCATAGATATACAAGAGTTCTGAACTTTTTATAGCAATGCTGAAGAAGAAATGAAAAGAGACATGTAAATGATGAGAGAATTGTGAAGTACCAGATGAAGTGTTCGTTGTTCAGCCCTAGAGCATCAGTTATAAGGGAAGAGGGTATCCATAAAAACAACATTTAACTTTTATGCATTTAAAAAAATAGAAGAGAATGCCTGAAATTGTCCAGGATTAAATAGCTGGTAGTTTTCCATAGTAAGAAGTATACAGTTATGGGTAAATAATAACACTGCATTTGCACTGTTCCTGTTTCTGTTCCACATCACAGGGGGAAAAAAAAAACACAAAACCAAAAAACCACCATCAAGTACTCAGAAGTGAAACTATGCAGAATCAAGGTGAAAAACATAATTTAGCCACAATTGCCTCTGAGGTATATTAGATAATATTCTCTATCCTAATAGATAATAAAATACAACTAGAACTTCTTTGACAACTTTAACCTAAAAAGTAACAAAATAATGCACTGAAAAATACATGAAGTGCAGAGACACAACGAAATCTGCAAAACAAGTCAATTTGGTAATTTTCCAATGACTAATGTTTGGTCCTGCTGAAAAAACAACTAATCTGGAAGGATAAAGGTTTTCAGATGGATCAGTTTTTGATCTGCTTCATCATATGGTCATACAAACATTCATGTAGTGTACAAATGGGAGGGCAAGAAAAAGCAGAAGAAAAATGGAAGCACAATGTGAGAGCAAAACTTACTTTGGGGTCAGTTTTAGTCTAAAGTGCTTGTTGAACTACAGTTGCAGGAGTTTTTACTCGCAATCTTGCACTGAATTCTTCTAAAAATCCACCATAGCATTTTGGGGAAGTTTACCACGTCAAAGTTTTGTAACACCTAGACTTCTAAAATGTTAACTGTGAAGTGCTTCCTCGTGTCCCCAGAGGTTTGTTGTTACTCCAAATGATAACAAGACAACACACACAGTCCCAACCAGCCAAACCATCAGCAGAGAATTGCATGCATGCATTACAGCAGAGAACTGCATGCTGACTTTCACTGTGGCTGCATACATTAAAGTAATTTTATTGTAAGACGTTTGCTCAGTACTGCCTTAACGATTCCTGCATATTCTGAAACAGAACTTCAGGTAATTCAGAAAATTCAGTCTAGGATCTGATTGTATCTGATGGAGACGAATCACAAAATCTGCACTAAAAGTCATATCAAAAGTATTCTGAAAGATAATCACTCATATTTTAGCATTCCCTAACAACAATGAAAAGGGTTAGTAACTAATTTTCGATTATGTACCCTTATGCCAGGGCTACAGATGTATACTGGATTAAGGTGGGTATTTCTTAATAAAATAAGCGACAGCAGAACAAATCTTTACTATCAACCAAATGAGAGCAAGCTGGAAGAGGAAAAACAGATGCAAAGAGAGGTATTTCTAAGAAGCCTGCTCCCTCTATTGGGCACTGCTGTGACAGGTCCTCAATGACTGTAACACTTCAGACTCCGTTTTCTGATGCAGTGAGTTAATTTAGTATTCAAGATACCTTCCCAGCAAACAGGCGTATGCAGGCCCTTAAGAAGAAAAAAAAGGACACCAAAATAACTAGAAGCCCAATCACTGAAAACTAACACATGGAGCTGCTTAATCTGAAAAGCAATCAAAAGAAAGCTGTGCCTATACCCATATCCATGAAGGGAAGTAATGACTAACGAACACTGCCTTCTTTCAATTCCCTATAAGCCAACTTTATTGTATAGAGTGGTTTTCAAGTCTTCAGTTTCAGCTACCAAGTATTTCCTATGCTGGAGAAAGATATCTTAAGCACATTAAAACCTAAGTACTTGAAGTCAAAAATATCCTTTTTACTTTCAGAGCCAACATTCACATTTGTTAAGAACACAGAAAGGAGTAGACTAAACAGTCTTCATTACAGGTTTGCAGAACATACGTACATTAGCATTCTTCCTAAACTTTTTAAAACCATGTCTCACCTGTTGCTCACTGACAGATCACACTGGAATCCTGTCGGTTGATGGGAAAATTTCACCAGCGGGCAGCGAGCATTGAGTATCTTCTGTATGTTCACACATCCAGGACCAAAATTATCAAGGCAATCACCAATCACAGAAAGAATTTTCTGAGTTGCTAATCTTTCAGATGGTAATCTTTTCATCTGATATTCCATTTCAAAGGGACCTTTTTTCTAACACAGAATTTTAAAAGTAAACTGTTAGCTCTGGAACCAAAGAGACATTTAAGAATACTTCTGAAAGACTACAACAGTTTGCAAAGGAGTTTGTACAATTAGAGACCGAAAGACAAGAATTAGTCAAAGCAGCCCGCAGAACTTGAAAAAGGTAAAAACATATTGCTTTCTCTTTTATATTCTTTTTCAGTGATTCAATTTTTCCAGGTTAATAGCGATCAACTTACTGTAAAGTTACTTGTTCAGATGAGGGTATACTACTACTACATCTCACTATTGCCTAAAACAAGTAATTCTGGAATTCCCGAGAGAGCATATATGCTCTGACTGAAAAGAGGAGCATACAATTAAATCAAAGAGGGGCAAAACATAACCAAACCGCCGTTAATTTCAAACCACCAGTAATTCCATTTCAAACCCTCAAAGAACAATGCGTTATTAGTGAATCAAGTAGCAGTGTAAAGGAAAATGTCTTTTTCATTTAAAAAAAAAAATTTAGCATGCAAATTACTTAATCCTTCAAAATAAAGATAAGCTTCTGTATGACTTAAAACAATCACTTCACATCAGATACAGTTTTTCTAACAAATAAAAAAAACCCATGGAGATGTATTCTCACAACATCAGACGTATTTTCCTGTAGGTCTTTGTATTTTGAATTGTCATATTTGTAGTTTATACCTCAATAAAATAACTTCGTACCTATGAAATCTCCATTCACTTTGTAGCCTATGTTTTTAAGCCTCAGCTAATTTTGCTTGCTAATCCAATACTTGACACTGACTTAGCCTCCCCCTTGGAACATGTCATGGGTGAATGCATACTACACAAACAGCATTACACAGTGACCTAACTAGCCCTCTGACACACAGAGGAGGTTACTTTTGTTGTCACCGGGTTAGTGCAAAGAAAACATGCACTCACAGACAGGTGAAACAATTCAGAAGTTACGGACCTTGCAACCTTTCTCATAAACTCAATTTAGGTGCTGAATTTCTGAGTTGCTCTGGCAATCACTGAGATGACTGTTCCTGCTCTCCTCTTGCCCACAGTTCTCCAGCCAGCACATGTGTTTGAACACACCAGAACAGAGGTCCCTAATCCTGTTTGGCTGCATAGCTGCATGCTACAGCAGGGCTCACTCAAAGTGAAAGAAACCTATAACCATCAACTTTGAGGTAGGTAACAGGAAAGAAAAAGATGGGGACTCGGCCGCCATGTAGGTGTGCTGGTGTTTGGACCTTTATGTTTGTGGCAAAAATCACAATGTGCCTTCCCAAACAGCAGCTCACTCTCTCTCAGAAGCTGGATGAAGACTTTTTTGGTAATGATAAAACATAAACTCCTAATAATTTATAGGACCTTCATATATAGCTTTGGTGCCAGCTGGGAAGGATGAAGTACTGATACACTTGCCCCAATCCTGTAGTTCTCCCCCTATTCTTGCCATGTTGCTCAAAACAGGAAATGTAAATGAAGTAAACTATTACTTTGGGTTAAATTGATGTAGTAGCCTCAGCAAGAAGCGTAACTGTTTTAATGCAAAAACTGTTACTCTAAAAAAATTTATAGGACCTTCATATATAGCTTTGGTGCCAGCTGGGAAGGATGAAGTACTGATACACTTGCCCCAATCCTGTAGTTCTCCCCCTATTCTTGCCATGTTGCTCAAAACAGGAAATGTAAATGAAGTAAACTATTACTTTGGGTTAAATTGATGTAGTAGCCTCAGCAAGAAGCGTAACTGTTTTAATGCAAAAACTGTTACTCTAAAAATATCACAGAACTCTGTTTTAAGTCATTCACTAATCTCCCAAACTGCCCATGTGTTAAAAACACCGTATCTGTGGCCAAACACTGTATTGATAATCCACTTGGTAAAGGATGCTCCCACTTCTGCTGCTTTTTTAATTCACAATCAGTAATCAGTTTGCTGTAAGACTCAAAAAATATTATTTAATGTAAATAGGTGCTGAAATGCCTGGTCCTCCTCCATTGCTGGTACCTCCTGAAAGGCTACAGTAGTGCAGAAATCAGAAGATACCCTTTCCACTGCTGCTATATCATCTTATAACTAAAGCTACCTCCCCTTGCCTTCACTTGTTGTAAGACAGTCAACTTATGTATACTAGTAACACAGTTTGCCAGGGAGAAAGAGTATCGTTATCCCTAAAAATCACACCGCCAACTATATGAGACTTTTGCCTTATTCTGAAGTATTGTCTGTTGCCTACTACAGGAGGTATACCCAACATTTTATTTTCCTACTGTATTGGCTTTACGTGGCAAGGTTTTGGTTGGGGGAGGGCTGCAGGGGTGGCTTCTGTGAGAAGACATCAGAAGCTGCTCCTCATTTTGGACAGAGCCAGTTCCAGCTGGCTCCAAGACGGACCTGCTGCTGGCCAAAGCTGAGCCCATCAGCGATGCTGGTGGGACCTGTGCAACAACGTATTTAAGAAAGGGTAAAAAATGCTGTGCAGCAGCTGGGAGAGAGGAGCGAGAAAAATGTGAGAGAAACAACCCTCCAGATACCAAGGTCAGCGAAGAAGGAGTGGGAGGAGGTGCTCCAGGCACCGGAGCAGAGATTCCCTAGAAGACCATGGTGATGCAGGTTATCCTCCTGCAGCCCATGGAGGTTAAAGTGGAGCAGATATCCACCCTGCAGCCCATGGAGGACCCCACGCCAGAGCAGGTGCATATGCCCTGAAGACAGCTGCAGCCTGTGGAGGGCCCATGCTGGAGCAAGCTTCTGGCAGGAGCTGCAGGCCATGGAGAGGAGCCCATGGGGGAGCAGGTTTTCTGGCAGGACCTGTGACCCTGTGGGGAACCCACGCTGGAGCAGTCTATTCCTGAAGGATTGTACCCCGTAGGAAGGACCCATGCTGGAGCAGTTCTTGAAGAGCTGCAGCCTATGGGAGGGACCCCATGCAGGGGAACAGCATGAGGAGGAAGGAGCAGCAGAGACAAAGCGTTACGAATTGACCGCAACCCCCATTCCCCATCACCCCGCGCCGCTTGGGGCGAGGAGGCAGAAGTGTTGGGAGTGAGGTGGGGTGTTTTTAATTTTGGTTTTTTTATTTCTCACTACCCACTCTGTTATTAACTGGCAATAAATTGAGTGTTTTGCTCATGACGGTAACTGATAAGTGATCTCCCTGTCCTTATCTCAACCCACGAGCTTTTTCATCTTATTTTTTCCCCCCATCCTGCTGAGGAGGGGGGAGTGAGAGAGCAACTGGGTGGGCAGCTGAAGGTCAGCCAAGGTTAACCCACCACACCTATAAAGTACAAAGCTCTCTAGGTGCTGGCACCTTAGTCTCCCATTTTGGCTATGCTAAAATCAAGACACAAGAGTTGCGCTAATGATTTTTACACTCTTTTACAGGACAATGCTCTAACATACTTTATTTTTGTACATACTTTCACATTGATGCAGCAGATATGCCCACATTTTAGCGCTCCAAAATGTCAACAAAACCAACAAGATCATCACCTTTAGTGCATAAAGACTGTGCCTACACACAAGACAAAAGCCTCACTGCACCACACAGAGTGTAAGTGGTGAGTGGTGTCCCTCAGGGGTCTGTACTGGGACCAGTACTGTCTAATATCTTCATCAATGACATAGACAGTGGGATTGAGTGCACCCTCAGCAACTTTGCAGATGACACCAAGCTGAGTGCTGTGGTCGACAAGCCAGAGGGACGGGATGCCAACCAGAGGGACCTGGA